TTTTTTAAAAAGTATACCAAGTTTTATAACTTTTTGAGATCTTTCATTTGACATCAATATTATATCTATAAAGTTTAAAAAATCGAAAGACCACATGAGGGTACGGTAAAAAGATCAAAAACTCATTTGATAAAACTGAAATTTGCTGAATGGACTGATTCTGATTAAATTTAAGAAGGTTTGGTTAAATTGGCTGTATTGGATGATTTTGGTGATTTATGAAAAATTATATTTAAAATACCACATATATTTTATTAATAAAATAAATAATCAATTATATGAAAAATAACTAGAATGTGCATCTACAATAACTTCAGTCAGTACACCCATAAAAGTAACTGCAACCTTACTTTTTCTAATTATTACACAATTCAGTGGGTGAAATCAAAAGTTATGTGTTTAGTTAAACAGAGTCACCATGCATGCATGCTCCGCCGTCACTAAACCTAATTGTAAACCAATGTCTTTTTTTACAAAAATGGGAAGATATAATTGGTAGATTTAGGTTCATTTTTTTATAAGTAGATCCAAGTGCCAAAATTAAGATCTAATCGTTATTTTTAAAATCATTTATACTCTGTATATGAAGTCAAATAAAATACTCCATATATATTTAGCAAATGTACTGACGATGATAGATTATATAGTGAAATTTGATTTACGGGATAACATTTTTTATAAAAATTATTTATGTACTGATTTTATAATTCATATTAATACTCATTTCATTATGTATGAGTTAAAAATACCTGATTGTACCGTGTGTATGATACAATCTGGTGCATCATATAATTTACAGGTTGCAACGGGCCTTTTTCACCTCATATGGTCTTCAGATATATTTTTAATTTTATATATCCAATATTGGTGTTATATGAAAGTATGTAAAAAATTATGAAATTTGGTATATTTTTTAAAATATTTTTAGCAAAAATGTAAAAGATATAACACTTTGAAGAAAATGTGTTTTTTTAATTTAGGTCCACGTCACCCCCCTTATCCCTCAGTTCGTATACCGTGGGATCATCCCACAGTGAGCACCATGCTCCCACTTCCAAAACGACGTAGCTTTGCACAATTAAAAAAAATTCGTGTGAACAGTACACGCGTGAACAGTACATGCGTGTACAGTAACCACTACTAGAAAAATGGTCTATAGTGACACTAAATTAGTGTCACAGAAAGTTTTTCTGACACTAGAAAAGTGTCAAAGAAGGTCGGGAATTGTGACACTAAATTTAGTGTCACAGATGAAGTGTCACAAATTTCTGACATTTTAGTGTTACAAAATACGATGATACATTTGCAACAAAAAAAATTAAAACACTTATGTGTCATACAAGTGTGTGATACATTTGTATCAAAATATTTCAAAACACAATTGTGTCAAAAAAATTGATGACACCATAGCATCATAAATCTTGATGACTTTTTTATATCATGCAGTTTAGTGACACTGTAATATCATACATTCAGAACTCATATATCCATTCAATTGTACCTCACATTTGCATTCAATCATTAGATATTTCTTTCATAAAACCCATTCAAATAATAATATATTTGAATGTCTAATTCACATTTCAAATGATTACCAAGAATTCATTGCATCCATAAGTCAAAGTAAAAAACAGCCCAACAATGTTCAAAATGGCTGCTCTTACTTAGCTACAAACATTCAAGTTCCTAAAAATACTCGCTTAGTTTAGCTACAGTTATAATACTTCATCATACAACAACACATTAAAAGCCATTCCTAGTTCAAAAACATGTGGCCAAAAGTATGCATGCCAAAAACATATCCTTCACCAAAGAGGACAAAAACATGCCAAAAACATATCCTTCTTCAAAGGGCTCCTTCAAAACAGTCTGTCAGCATCCATTGAATTAGTCACTAATCACTGCAATGAGAAAATTTTTATTAATTAAACATGAATGTAACACACCGACCCATTCTCTCGAGTTTGAATCTAAACAATAATTTGATAAACTGAAATCATGCACATACGCTTTCATCAAAGTTGCTGCATAAGAAACCCATTCTTCCCGTACTTCTAAAATATCTTGCTCAGAATACTCTTTAACAGCAGAGAACTACATCATTATATGCAAAATTAGCATTTAATGATAAATAACATAGAAATGTGTAGAGAACTGCTCTAACTCACATTGTTGAGGATAGAGACATCAGTTACCACATCTTTCATGTATTTCATCATGTAATATCCACATTCCACACATCCAACTTGTTTCGGGCACTACAAACAATGAAACACACAAGCAAATATATATATATATATATATATATATATATATATATATGTATACACACACATATACACACACACACATACACACACATATATACACACACGCAAATATAAAAGAACTGTCTCAATACTACTAGAAATATAGTTTTTACCCTCTCAGGTCACTGCACAGAATACAGGAGTAAATAGAGGAGTTTAATACTACTCATCATTACTTGGAATTTATGTTGTTGAGTTGAACTTTACATATTTAATTACCCCATGACACACATTCTCTTGTCTGGTAATCTGAACAAATAATATCCTTCTTCCAATTCAAAAAAAATACACACACATATGTGTTCTCCTAAGTTCACCCATTAAATATAGGCTTCCAAAGTGTTATGAAAGTGTACTAATTGCTTTTCAATGTTCCAAGCTATTAAAGTGTCCAGATTACTATAACATGCCTAATCAACTTCCTACCTGAGCACATAGTAGAGTTGGACAGTGGCAAAGCCTAAGAACAATAAAATATCAGTCAATAGCTAGCAATCTATTTTCAGTTTTAATTGCAGCATCCACTTTCTTTAAAAGTCAAGAATAAATCAATTATTCTTAAGCCAAAACAAAAAGAAAGGAGGTTGCATGACAATTTAAGTTCAATAGAACAAATACAGTACTTGACCATTCAAGATACTTAAACAAGAAAGTTACTCCTTATATCCTTATTTTATCTTCTCATATGATTTGCAAGCTATTTACTAGTTTAATTTAATTAAAGTAGAAAAATTGTGACAATTATACTCACTTAGAAGTTTTCAATTATATGGCTTCCCAGTTTTCAATGAAAGTCTGGTAATCTGAACACCAAATAATATCCTTCCTCCCATTCCAAAAAAAATATAATACACACACATATCATTAAGATCATAGCTCTACTGTATGGGCACAAATGAATATTACCTGAACTGTGATCCAATTCACCGTAAGCCTATTACTAGACTTAGATGCTTGATACATTTTCACTCCTCTGAAAAATAGTTAAATACATTAAATACTTGAGAATTATGACCTGATCTCAACTAGGGAGGGGGGAATGGGGGATGGAGAACTGCCCAATCAAGAACTGAAATCAAAATGGTCTAAAACTAGGCACTTTTTTTTAACCTGATTATAAGACTCCAATATAATACTTATTAGACCAATCAGCCGCACATTATAAATCCATGAAACACAGGAGTAATACTCATGCACAAGTTGGAGGGGAAATATATAATTAACTGGGTCACAATAACCTTCAGATCATCGAGTGGAACATCTCCTATTGAATCCAAGTAATACACCCTGTCCATTTCTGGGTCAAATGCAACTAATACCCAGTGATCACTGCATACACAGAAGGGTAGACAATTAATATCATATAATTCATTTAGAAAGAATTCTATCACTATTACTACTAGAAAGCCATTAAACTTAAATATTACTATTGATTTATTTTTATTTAAAAGGAAAATATTCCTTTTATTCTATTTAATAAAATATTCCTTTTATTCATATACTAAATCTGTAAGTTTGATTATTAATATCATTAATAATCAATATTAGCTTTATCATTCTTTGAAAATCTGGATTATCTGATTGTGGCTCCCTGACATTCTCATTCGCACTCTATGTCTAAACAAGAGGCAATTTTGTACAGAAAACGCACCCTGAATTGTACGGGAGTAAAGTGATTTGTCCAAGTAAACCGACACCCAAAAGATCTGATACGTATTGCGACCTCCTTGTGATGGAATCATGAGATGGTCTCTTTGGACGTGGTATAGCAGCTGATGTACCAAACAGGACAGGCATTTCCCCTCCATCCTCCAACATTTTTTCATAAAGGTTCCTGCAAATCGAAAAAAACAGTGAAATTTGTACTAAAAATTCCCAAGGCAGATTCATGTATTTGCTAGACACTTACTTGCACCAAATTTCTATCACAGAGTTTGAGACCTTCTCACATTTGATCACTATGCGGCACATTTCCTTATTGAAAACAGATTTTGTTGGAAACCCAAACACCTCTGCGTCATTCGGTATCATGTACCCATCTCCCAGGCATCGCTCAATCAGGATGGAGAACATCTTCATGTTCATGCTTTGTCCTTGTCTTTTCTCTACTATGGACCTTGTTGTTCGTTGCATAGTAAGCTTTCTGACAGGAACAGATTTCTTTTTCATTTGAGGCCTGTTGACTTTCAACACTTCCACACCATCATTCCCCAATTCTTCCTTTACACCTTCAAATGGTGTGTCAGTCTTGTGTAATATGTGTCGCGGGGATCTTCTGGGAAGCCGGGAATTTGTTTCAATCTTCTTAGGAGTGCACCTTTGAAACTTCTTAGTTTTGGTGCATTGTTGTTCTTCATCTGCACCAAAGTGGACTGCCACGGGCTCTTCTAGCCAACCCATGTCGTCATCAACATCAACTTCCTAGGAAAAACAATTCATCTGGTCATACTAACTAACTACTAACTGTAATTGAATGAGTAAAACTTTCAATAATAAATGTGACTGAAATAGTACTAATTGCAAACAACATTTACCTTTGGTGATTTTTCAGAATACACCTCTGGTTTTTTGTCCTTTCTCTGTTTGTCGGGCTTTGGTCCAGTTATTGGCGATGCAACTTCTTTCTCTACAGAGGTGTGTCTAGGAGATTTACTCAGTTGACTATGGATGCGTGATTTCTTGGGAGTATGAGCCGGCTTTTCAACCTCTACAGCCACCTAAATAATCATAATATAATTGTCGGAGTTAGTGGAACAAGCTGTAAATTAAAAAATATACACACTACAAAGATAAATATAAACCTTTCGTTTTCCAATTTCACCACTTGGGGACTTCGTTGCGACACTGCAACTACCAATGTCACTACCGGCGTAGGAACTCAACTGTGCTTTCATATCACGAAGTTGTTCTACCATCATCTCATATCTCTTTTCACAAATGCTTTTTTCTTTTTGCCTCTCAGACATGCATGGTTTTGGCATGTCAAAGTACATAGATGGGGTAATGAAGTGCCCCATTCCTTGTACTCGACTACCATTTGGCTTTTTTCCAAGAGCAAGTGTCATAACATCATTCACACCGCTAGCCACAAGGGAACCTTCATCTACTTTAGTTTTCATCTCCTTCTACAAAAATATAATTACAATAATATTTATTGTTCAAGCATCTTTCTCTAAGTGAGAAGCAAGGAATAAATGCATTAAAATGCATTTAGCTTTTAGCACAAGAGAAGCATTCAATAAATGCAAGGTACTTCAGAAAGCTTTTTAGTATCTAGTTGTACATTTCTTGTTTGTTTGTTATTCACCAGATGGAAGTTAGTGATTACGATCCATTTGCATCAAAAAGAGTAGAAAGGTAATTAGTCTCAAAAGCAAACTGACCTAACACATAACGTACTAAATGCCAAAATTTAACAAGATACTAAGTATCGAGAATTCTATCTAAACGGATCTCTGCTGAAACGGATGCACTACGAAATTTCATAGACCACCAAAAAAAGAAACGTTTTGCCTTTATGTGAATATAGATGAAGACAACCCACATTCAGGTAAGGTTAAATCATTGAAGCAATCTTAATATCCTGATAGAGTAAAATCTCAAACTCTTTTATTTGACAAGAAAATATTAATCTATCCATAAAGAACCATGGCAGAGTAAATAATTAGGCATTCGCAAGAACCCGTACACATCATCCCAGATTCACAGCTCAATAGACATGTCAATCAAGCTTTATAAATTTACAAATTGATCAATCAAGCCCACTTATGGTAGGATCCTATAAAACTCACATTTAATTGAACAAGGCCAGTTTATAAATTTTGTTGAAAACTCTTATATGCTAACTACATCCCAGATTACGGTTACAAATTGTATACACTTATAAATGTGAAAAGCTTATATTTACTTTCACTAGCTTTAAAATAAACCCAATTTAAAATGTGAGTTATATAGACTTACTATTTTTTCTACAATAGCTTTCACTTCATCATCAAATTCTCCATCTTTGCCCTGATGGCCCCATACCCATGTATCCGCTCGATCAATATCCACAACATTAGCTCCAAGCTCCTTTTCCTATCATTTACAAACATAAATACTTTTTTTTGGAAGAAACAAACATAAATACTTTAACAATTAAAAGTGTAGAAGACAGACTTAAGCAAAGATATATAATTGCTTAACATATTTAATGTATTTTTAATTATGCAATCATTATGCATATTTAAATTAAATTAACCTTCTTCTTGAGTAAGCCTGCATAACCAATAGAACCCAAACGATGGTTATACTTGTTCTTTTTCCTCATATCTTTTCCTCTTTGACTCTTTACCTACAAAGATTGGAGTAAGATTATGCTAGGGAAGTATCTACAAATGAACAAATACAATATTACATTGTAATACATATATGCTACTAATACTTACTTGAAACTCTTGTGTGAAAGTCTTCTTCACAAAGACTCTCCACTCATCAGTGCGAATATGCTTATACCGTTCAGGAGGGTATCTTAGCTTTGTCAAATCATCCATGTGCTGTAAGATGAAATCATTCCGTAACTCAAACCGGAATTGTCTCAAAGCAACACTCATGGTGGCAAAAACTTGCTTCTTAGACCTTGAAGTTAGCACAAACAGTTCCTGGAAGAATAAATATTAACACAATCAGTAAAAGTGGATATACAAAATAAAAAACAATCACAAAATTCCATTCTAATACAATTTGATTATTGCACACCAGAAGATATTTCCACAACTCATCTTTGACTTTATCAGGTACATGTCGCCAGTCGTCATAGATAATCGAAACATAATCCTTTACCAAGACGCCACAGTAGTTAGTCAGGTTTGTCCAGCCATCACCGCAATGAACACCAAATGCATTCACCTCCACCGTGATTCTGTCATCACTAGCTTTCTGCAGCAACATTTTTTTCTTCGTTTTCTGTCTCCTCTGTGGCCTCATTATACACTCCTTAGGGAAGTCCTCAACATCATCATCGAACTCATCAGTATATTCTGGAACACTCGACATGGCTCACTGTAACAAGGAAAAGTAGCTCTATTCAAACAGTAACATAATGTATACAAGACAAGAACAACCTTAATTAAGAGAGGAATGTAAAGCAATTACTTACAAAGAATAAAAGAATAAAAGAATGGAGTCGATTTCAGATCAATTAAGTGTAGGAATCACATCCACGTCGACTCTAGTATAAATCTGGTCATCATCCAGATTATCCAAATCAATAACAGGCAGTGGATATTTTAATGTTAGTGGTTCATGTATAACAATTTCAGCAGATCCGAAATCTAAGTTGTTACTTGCTCTCTGACCAACTGAACATACAATTGATTTTTTAGGGTCAAGTTGATCTTTTACATAGAAGACTTGTTTAGCATGAGAAGCCAAAATAAAACAGTCATTTCTATGACCAATTTTATTCAGATCGACTACCGTGAAGCCCAATTTATCTTTCTTTATATGTCTACTATCAACCCAATCACACTTGAATACCACCCTCTTGGTCATGAGATAGTTCAAAACCCAAATTTCATCTAGAACGCCATAGAAGCTGCTGTCTTTAGAACTTGAGACTTCAATTGTGTCTGCTACAAGGGTAACACCACTGTTTTGGGTAACACGAATTGAGTCTTTGTCCTTCGTGGCGAAATTGTAGCCATTGACAATATACCCGGCATATAAGGTCACACTTGTGTTTGGTTTTTTAGCTAAACACCTCACTGTTTCGTCTACAATAACACCCTTGGCAACTTCACCTCTCACCTAGAACAACACATTAGTAGTTATTAATATGTAATTATGAGAATCAATAGTTTTAATGCACAATATTAGTTAAATTTAATTTAGTTAGAACTACCTTGTCTTCAAACCACTCAGTAAATGTACGATAATGTTCTGTTTCACAACAGCCAACAAACTTCGATTGTAGGTGCAACATATGCTCCCTAACATTTAATTCAAACAATTTATTAAAAATTCAACTATTAAAAAGCATGGGTGGTATTCAAAATGTCTAACTTTAGACTTACTGTATGTAGGGATGAACTTGTGGGGTATTAAATAAAACAGTGCGATGAGCTTGCTCCAACAATGACAAATCAGCCACCTTGATATCTCCCCTTCCCACAGGCCTTTGAATTGAAACACCATCATCATCATCATCGTCATTATTAGGTAATCCAATAGCTTTATGATTTGACAGGTCTTTGAACATATCCTTTCAACACTTTCATGCTTCTCTCAAAAGGATACATCCAACACAAGTAAGGCGGCCCACATAAACGTATTTGAGCAATGAGATGGACTGTCAAGTGAAGCATTATATCAAAAAAAGATGGTAAGAAGTATTGCTCAAGCCAGCACAATGTGACCCGATAGTCAGCCTCGAGTTTATCGAGTGAATCAAGATCCAAAACCTTCTCACAGATTGCATTGAAGAATAAACAAACACCTGTAATAGCATTCGTAACATTATCTGACACAGACAAATTTCGAATGGCCAGCGGAAGTATTTGTTGCATCAGTGTGTGGCAATCGTGAGACTTCAGACCTTGAAGCCGATTATCATCATCAGAAACAATGCTTTTAAGGTTGGAGGAATATCCATCAGGCACCTTTGTTTCAAGTATAGTTTGGCAAAATTTTCTTTTATCTTCTTTGGACAAAGTGTACGGTGCTGGTGGTATTGAATTACCATCAGGGACTAGCTTTTTCCTTATCTTGAGGTGAAGGAGATCATTTCTAGCTTTTGGACCGTCTTTGGTCTTTGTCGGTTGATCAAGTAGTGTGCCGTACATGTTCTCGCACACATTCTTCTCGATGTGCATCACATCTAAGAGATGGCGGATTAACAAATGCTGCCAATACTCCAAATCAAAGAATATTGATTTACGCTTGAAGAGCGTATTTTGGTTCGTGTAAGGAATAAATGTAATTAGATTTTGATGATGCTAGGCTATTTAGATTAGAATTTTAAAGTACCCCTATTAGATTTTATGTATTAGTATTTTCAGTTGTAAATATTAATGTAGTCGACAATCAGAGTTGCTTCCTTATGGATCTGATCAGAGCTGCTATATGAGAACTGCTTTCAGAATTGCTCTCGGAAATCATGAGAGTTGCTCATAAGAGAACCATCAGTGTTGCTCTTCAGAGACTCGTCAGAAGTCTACATCAGAAAGACATCAGAGTTCGATGTATAGCTTCATCAGAACTCAACATCAGACAAGCATCAGAGTTCCCTCACCAGAGCTCGACTTGAAGCTACATCAGAACTACTCTTCAGAAAGCCATCAGAATCCAACGTATCAGAAGACTCCGATCAGAGTCCGACTAACACTTAGAAGAATTTCAAAGCTACTTCCAACGGCTGGGAAATTCATCAACGGCTAGAAGATATTCCGTCCAAGGAAAGTATTTAATGCTCATTAAATGAGCCTGATACGCTTTGGATTGATTGCAAATGATTGACCGAGAAATCTGGAAGATATATTAAATATAGAAAGCTTCCAAATTAGTGGGTCAAGTCAACTGTACGCGCATTCAATGCAGTTGTCTCCTCCTCCAACGGGCAGACAACCCCAGTATATAAGCTACACACCGAAGAACAGGAAAATAACTTTGCTACAACTTTTGCTCATCATACTTCAAGCTCTCTTGAGATTCAAACTCTACAATCTTCAACAAGACAAGCTTACGTTGGGAAGATTCAAATATCCATATCATCAAATCCCAACACATAGCAAAGTTCATCCTATTCTTCAACACTTCAAGAACTTCAACTACATATCTCTTGTAACGAAGCAAGTTGGAGAAAACTCTGTTTTCGGAATATCTTCTGCAAAGAAGGGCGTCCAAGTAACTGCAGTAGTGAAGTGGTGATACTTCCGGGAAGCTGAGTGAAAGGACCAGTCATCAGGAAGCAGGACTGCATCCCGGGTGACAACTAGGCTTGAAGAAGGCGTGGAGAACTTCTTAAGTGCTAGGGAACTAAGCTTTGTAACCGTTTACTTCAAAGCTAGTGGAACAGTGGACTAGAGGAACACGTTGTTCCTTGAACCACTATAAAAACCCCGGTGTCATTTACTTTACTGCATTTACT